GAACGCGTAATGTCAGACAGATGAGATGTCATCTTGCCTACTTTGCTCTCGTTCTCGTGAGGACGAGAGGTAAGGAGTGAGAATTTCGTGCGTTAGCTTCTGGTCACACTCAAGTCAGCGCCGACTGTCAATTACAGATTTTAAAGTTTTTCCTTTTCATAAATTGTTGTTTTTTTAATGTCCGCCGCCAAAAATTTTCCGACTTTGCTCACACGACAAGGTTTGCAGTTTTATTTACTTATATAGATATCAAATGACTCATCACACATATATATATATATATATATATATATATATATATATATATATATATATATATATATATATATATATATATGATAAAAAGTATATAAAATACTCAAGGGAAAACGTTCACCTATGTGAATATAGTCACGCGCGCACACACCCACTACACACACACAATCACACACACACACACACACACACACACACACACACACACATATATATATATATATATATATAATTGTTTATATATTATAACCCCACACAATTTCAGGGGACACAGACCTACACACACACGCACAGAGAAAAGCACACATAAGTCAATATCTATATCTAAATTTATCGATCACTAAATCTATATTAACTTAAATTTACTTTGTGAGTTATGATGCATATATATATATATATGTTTTATCTCAGTCAGGCATGGTTAGATTATATATATATATATATATATATATATATATATATATGTGTGTGTGTGTGTGTGTGAGTAGTGTGTGTGAGTAGTGTGTGTTTGTGTGCGTGTGTGTGTAGTGGGTGTGTGCGCGTGTGTTTGACTATATTCACATAGGTGAACGTTTTCCCTTGAGTATTTTATGTGTGTGTGTGTATCGGTAATTATGTAGGTATATAAAGGGTGTGATATATAAATTGTCGCCATTTTATTTTTTTTAATTTCGTGCCTGCCAGTTGTTTTTGATTTTGTCGACTGCATAATATCTTAGGGTTTAGTAGGGAACTGTCTGTGAGAAAAAGAGCACCACGACGCAATTCACTCCTACAGAAATTTGGAAACGGCTTGCTGTACTGCTTGGCATTCGCGCCGTGAGTCTAATGGTGATTACGAAGGTGTTTGGAGTGATTACTAATAATGGTGACATTATGCCTCCATTTATCTTCTCACTGGGCACCAGACTCAACACAGAGGCCTACATCAAGTGCCTTGAGGAGGTAGTGGATGAATAGGGTGGCTGCTGAAAGACCCATGACTTTGCATCATGCCGCACAAGCAGGACAACCGAATCATGGCTGTCAAATAATTTCTGCGGCCACATCACCCCATACATCTGGCCACTTAACTCCCCAGACTGCACCCCATTTGATTATCATGTGTTGGGCATTTTTAAGATTGTGTCTTTTTGATTCTACGTGAAGAAACATTCGGAAGAAGAAGGTTAATAAGATTTAAACATGGCGACTATGTAGTTCTTGATTTTTTTGTTTCTTTCTCATGCGTAAATCGTGTTGACGATAGAAATAGAAAAAACAAAACAAAAAACAAACTACGTTATTTAATGCCACTCAGACAATTCCGATAGTTTAATTCAACATTATTTTTTTTTATGGAGGAAAAATCTGAATGATTGCTGGGTCTCTCTATAAACGATTGTGGCAGAGGTGATGAGACAGAACCTGGGACGAGCACAACTGGTTGCGACTCGCCTTGTCCCCGCCAAAAAAAGAGCCCGTATTTGCTTAGCATGTAAAGCTATTGCAGTTGAGATGAGGGAGAAAAAAGCACTTACCGCTCTGCCAGAATCCGTCCCGGCTAGATAACGTAAAAGAATAAGGGGGTGGGGGGCTTGCATTGCATTTTTATGCATTAAAGATGCAATTCATTATGGGACAGGGACGCAATGAATTATGGGATCGCATGAAGACGCAAGGGATTATGGGTATATGGACAAATATAAAAGCAACCAATTTTTCCTAGTGCGGCGTGCTTGGAGTGACGTTCACGGTTGGCGGCTAGAAAAGTCTGTAAGTGCGATTTTGAGACAGAACTCAAGAAGGAACGACTCGAGGTTGGAATACCAGCTGGGAAAGCTTGAATTTACTCGCTGGTTGCTGTTTTCTTTTTATTTCGTCACAAATGCAATTAGAATTATTCAGTCGAAGACATTTCAAATCGTAATGATCACTATAATCAGCAGGCAGAAACGGTTCTTTTCTGGATACTGAAATTAAGCAGGTGGTCAGTAATTCTATAGGGAACTATTTAGGGGTGCCAAGTACTGCCTTTTACCAGACTAAGCAAAGATTTGAAAATGAAACAAGATCAATATGATCCCGAACTGGCTCCAGTTCTCTCCAAACACTACAACAATTGCCTCACTGATTCCAGCGTGTTGAATGCCATCCTGTGTAGATCCTGCTTTTAAGAACTCTGGAGAAGTCTCTGACCTCTATTATTTTCTTACCGCTCTTCGGAAAATTATTCAAGGCTCTAATATATGCTAAAGTATTAAGTATTTTACTTTTCACGACTTCCTCTCCGACAAACGATATGGTTTTCGTTTCGCCAGGTCTACTCATAATGTGTTAACAGCCATCATTGAATATGTATATCAAGATCTTGATAATAACGGCGAAGCTCGAGCTGTGACTCTAGATATCTCGAAGGTGTTTGACAGGGATTGGCACGGCGGTCTTCTATGCAAGCTTCAGAGCTACGGACGATTGTTTGATTTAATTCAATCATTCTTAACAAATCGTGAAATGAATTTTGCTTTGAACGGAAATTCCATCAGTGGTTAACTGGGGTAGGAAATGGCTTGTAAATTTTAACGCCTCCAAAATAAAATTAACTGTCATGAAAAAAAAAAATTCTGCCTGCCATCAACATGGCTTACGCTAGACTCCTGGAGAGCAACACACTGCGGCTTCTTGGCCTCACATTTTCAACTGACTTGAAGTGGAGCAAGTTCAACGAATAAATAGCTGTATCTACGGGAAGGAAAGTTGGGTTACTCTGTCGTGCCAGAAAACCTTCCTTGTCAGAGTCCATCATATATATTTAGAATATACCATTCGATCGTACATTGGATAATGCTGCCATATCTGGTCTGGTGCTCCTGCTATTCATCGCGATGTTCTTGAAATAATCCAAAGAAGGATCTGTAATGTAATCAATCCTGACTTGGCATGTCCACTTCATTCTCATTTTAATCGAAGTTACGTGGTTTCATAACTGTTATGGTCCAAGGTTAGGACCAAGGAAGAACAACACGAACACAAGAGTAGAAATAACGAAGGTATATTACACGAAATAATAATACAAGATGTGGAAGGTGTTAGTATGACTGTCTGTCTGGATTGGAGTGAACTACTATCGGCTCGGCTCGATTCGGTATCTAGCCACCCCCCACGAGGGTTGCATGTGGCACAAGGCCGAGTTTATCGTGGGTTTTCCGAGCCCGTAGGCTCGGCCAAAAAATGCCCGTAGAACCCGTATAAACGGGATCGGGTTGGTCAACCTCCCCGAACGAGACTCTGCCCTTCGGCGGAGCCTCGTCCGGGTTCCTCTCTGCTCAGAGACAGAGAGTCTGACCGTCAAGCCGAGAAGCTCGGCTAGATTCGTCCCTCTCTCTTGAGAGGCGTAGTGTACATAGTGTTAGGAAGAGTTCATTCTGTAGTTATAGGTAAGGACCCATGACAATAACTAATTTCTACAAATATTATCATGGAAACTGCTCTGAAAAGAATTTTTTCATGGTGCCCCGACTACATGAATTTAAGCTTGCTACTAGATTGGCATCTAGGTCCCACCTGTTTACTGTTGAAATAACTAAATGCAACCGTCGCTTCTAATCCAACAGTTTCTTTTCTCGCACTTCCTGCCTGTGGAACTTTGTTGCGTTTATTTGCTTCCTTGACAATTACAATCTTAAAATTTTAAATGCAACTCGTCATCTTCCATCTTCTCGTATCCCGTTGATCTTTTGTCCTTTCCAAATCCTTCATTACTCAGTTTTTTCTCTCACTTTCATTCCCTGTAACTCCCCGCGCACTAGTGGCATCCCCGCCTTGCTTAATGTGAAATGACTAACACACTATTTATATCAATATTGCCTTTGTAAATGTTAGAATTTTCAGTGTTGTCACTATTAAAGGAATTATGAAGCTATATACCATCAAGCTCATTTTTATGATCAATGAATAATTACCCTTGAAAGCTCAAAGAAGCCTAGCTCGAATCGAATTCTGTTGATGGCGATTAAAAAAAAAATAAAAATAAAAACTAGCTAAAATATATTTCGCAAATATCATTTAAGGTAAATATAAGAGATGCAGGCTGTAAACTTTCTACACACCTCACTATACACATTTTCTCGCTTGATGATTTATTTGTATATCACAAGAAATCTTTTGGGACAAAACAAGAATAATTTATTTGAATTTTTCATTTGTAAATAGTGATGAAAAGATGAGAATAATATTTTAAGATTATTTATTTGTAAATAGTGACAAAAACGAGAATAATTCATTTGGATTAATCATTTGTAAATAGTGCTAAAATTGAGAATAATCTTTTGGGATTATTTTTGTGTAAATTGTGCTAAAAGATGAGAATAATTTTCTTGAATTCTTTCGAATATCCTTTGCAAATAATGATAAAAATGAAATCTGAATTATTTGGATTATTCAGTTATAAATATCGATAAAAAAAAGAGAATAGTCAATTTGATTTATTTCGTCTGTTCATTTGTATGTAAATAGCAGCAAAAATGAGAAAATCCGATGTCGTTGATGCAAAAAATTCCAGCGTTAGCATTTTCACAAGCTTAGGACAATCTGCATTTGTTCATGTGTGTGCGTGCGTGTGTGCGTGCGTGTGCGTGTGTGTGTGTGTGTGTGCGTGTGTGTGTGTGTGCGTGTGTGTGTGTGTGCGTGTGTGTGTGCGTGTGTGTTTAATTACACGCAGTTACTTATTGTTTGTAAAGTCAGTTCAAGGCTTACGGACACATCACGTTAAACACCAGTCCCCGTACAATCACCGAAGTTAAGCAACGTTAAGCTTTTCAGTACTTCGATGGGTGAGCATTTGGGAATAACAGATGTGGTAAGCTTCGATGTGCGGATGGTGTAATGGATAATGGTTCTGAATTGTTTATCGGAGAACCGAGTTTCAATTCCCGTTGGGATCGTTAGGGAAAGGTATGAATCCACCTTTTTCTCCCCACCCCCGCCAGCTATATTAGACTTGTATCACGAAACCATTTTAAAAAAAAAAACTTACGATCTAAAAATATTTCCTAGCTTTCAATAACATATAAAGAGTTGATAAGCTGTAGAAAAAGAATCAATAAAAAAAAGACAGTCGCTTCAATGGAGAACGTCCTTTCCTAAACTTATAAATATTTAGAATCAGAGAAAAAGGAATTCACGTAAACTTGTATAAAAGGGCATTTTCCTTTCTCGTCTTGCTCAAAGTAGAGATAATCAGTTTTTTGACAAGATAGTTACTGACAATCTGACATTCTTCTTATTGAAAACTAAGAATGGCGTAGTTTATTCTTCAGCATTGCAACCTGAACAGAATCTGCAAGATAGAAATTATTTATATTTGGTAGCATTCAAAAGGAAAAAGAAGAGTTAATTATGGAAACGGTAAAAACTATTCTTATCTATTTCTTGAGGTCGAGGATGATGCTTTTGTTCTGTTTGGTTCAGTCAGTTGAGTTTGAGGACACCAAGATGGATAACGTAAACGATCTTTGTTTGAAAGGTCCTTTGGCATTGAGGACAGTTTGTTCCGGATTTGGGGAGAAGGCTTTGGTTGTTGTCTTTCTTTTCGACGTCATCTTTTTTCTTCAAATTCAGATAATAGTTTGAATTCGAAGATTTTCGTTCCGTTCCTGGATCTCCACAGATTCTTGTCCATTGCACTGGATTCCCAGTTGTTGATGTCGACGTTACATTTCTTCATGTTTATTTTAGAGCATTCTTGAATCACTTCTTTCGATCTCTTCTTTTCCGATTTCCTTCTTTGAGTCGAGAGTAAAAGATTTGCTTTCGTAGCTGGTTGCCATTCATTCGCAGCAGATGTCCACTCCATCGAAGTAGATTTTTTATGGCGATAGATTCATTGCTGGTCATTTTAGCTTGTTCCAGTACGCTGAGGTTAGGTCTTCTGACTTCCCAACCGGTGTTCAAGATACTACGAAGACAACGCTTTCTGGAATTTTAGATGTCATCGATAAGTTGTCCAGGTCTCAGAGGTGTACAGGAGATTTGGAATCATTAGGGCCTTGTCGACTAATATTTTGGTGTCTGTTCTGATGTCACAATCTTAGAAAACTCTATTTCGAAGGCGACCAAAAGTTGATCCTGCACATTTCAGGCGGTATTGTATGTTATCTTGAAGGTCAATGCTAAAAGACAGATGGCTACAAATATAAGGAAAGTGATTCAGATTCTCTAAGCTAGATCTTTGCTTTTGTCCGGACTGTTTCAGTTGGTGATAGTTGACAGATCATTTTTGTCTTATCCGAGTTGATTTTTAGTCCAAGTTTAGTGTATGTATTGTTGAAAGTATTCAGTATTTGTTTCAGATGTGATTCAGAAATTACTGCAACACTGTCTTCATCTGCATATTGAAACTTGATCAATGAACTCGTTTATGTTTTGAAGACGAGCAACGTTGAACAATCTACCGTTTGTCATGTAGACAATCTCAGTCGTGAGAGGCAGATCATCTTTTATCATGAAATAATATTAGTTGCAATGAAACTATTACTGATCAGTGGTTTTGTGAGAATTAGAGATGTTTGAATGACGTATTCGAAGGAAGCTCAATGCTTAATTTGTCGCAAGACATGTTCATATTTAAATGAAGCATATCGAAAGATTACGCAGCTGAGATAGAAAGTATCTCTATATTTGCTGTACTGGTTTAAAAAATACAGAATATACAAAAATTATTAGAAGAATTCATTGAATCAAAATCGCAATCGTTCTTTGATGATGGAATAAAGAATTTCGGTAAAAGTTAGCATAAAGTCATAGAACATCAGAGAAAAGAAAACATGGATGAAAAGTGATATTCTGAATTCATATCTAGAAATGATATTGTAAAAGATTGATACCTTTCCATCATCCAAATGTTTTACTAGATAACAAATGATCCCTGGAAACATCAACGCTTGTTCAGAAGTAGTATGCACGAGAAATTTTCGGCAAACATGGATAAACGTGCCCATAATAAGGCGTAATGTCGAAAGGACGTTTTTTTCCCATGACACCGCTTTTTAACAACCTTCACCCTTCGGCATTGTATTATTTTAAAAAACGATGATTAAAATTGGAATAAAACCTAAACACACGATCAAAGTAAATTTATACATTTTTTGTTCTTGAAAATTTACAACAAAAATATTAAACACTATTTATTAGATTGTTTATTTACAAGAATAATGTTATATTTACAAAATTCTAAAACCTAATACAATTAGAACTAATGCAATGTAATATTAATGATTTACCAATTTATAAAGAAATAAGTGAGAAAACATTATTTTCTTCATAAATTTATAAATATTTACTAAATTATTAAAATATGTGAACCAACTATGAAGAAATCCTTTTTATTTACAATTTTATAATTAGCCGATGTTTTGTTTAACATTCCAATAAATAATAGAATAAATACATAGTGTAAATAAACAATCTAATAAATAAATAGTACTTATTATTTTTGTTGTCAATTCTCAAGAACAAAGAGAATGAATAAATTCACTTTGGTATGATTAGTTTTTATACCAATGATCGCCTTTAAAAAACAATAAACATTGCTAAAAAGCGGCGACATGGGAAAACTGTTCTTCTTCAAAAGGATGTCTTATAGCGGACACGTTTGCCCATGTTTGCCAAGTTATGATTTTGTAGATTATTTATGTTTTGGTGTCCTCCCTCAAATGGGTCTATTGTGGACTCTTCAACTTACTATAAAGTTAGTAGGAAAAGCAAGCCACGGGGGAACAGTGCTCTAGTCTGTTCAACTGTCAAACTCTCTTCATTGAGCAGAGAGGAACCCGGATGTGGCTTTGCCGAAGGGAAGAGTTTCGTCCAGGGAGGTAGACAGTCCCTGAACAGGCTTATGCGGGTTCTAAGGGAATATTTTTGGCCGAGCCTCCGAGCTCGGAGAACCCACAGTAAACTCGGCCTTGTGTCACATACATCCCTCATGGGTGGGTGTTAAATATTAACAGTGATCTAAACTGTTCAACTGTTCAATTCTCTGTCTTTGGCAGAGAGAAACCCGGACGAGGCTGTACCGAAGGGCAAAGTCTCATCCGGGGAGTAAGACAGGCCCGAACCCGTTTATGCGGGTTCTACGGGAATATTTTTGGCCGAGCCTCCGTGCTCGGAGAACCCACGGTAAACTCGGCCTTGTGTCACGTAGTGGGGGGGGGCTGTTAAATATTAACAATTTTGTCCTCGTCTTTGTTGTTATTATCGTAGTGTTCCGACCTTCATTATGTGCTTGTCCATCTGGGAAACTTTTCACAGAATTTCGAACTGAATCATATACGTAATCTACGAGCTTGTAGATTGTCCTTGTTCCGTTGTCCATCTCTTGGGAAATGTCGTCTGGTTCTCAATTATTACTCTCTCCGTTTCCACTGAGTCCATAGAACAATAGCCTAATGAATTAAATCGTTAGCTTTTGAACTTGGTGACAGAGTAATTCTAAGTTGAATTCTCTAATCAATGTTTGTCTTTTTACACTAACTCGTAGTATTAAGTTCTGTAAACCACTTACACAAACTCATTAGATATGTTACTCAATCTTTTCCTCCGTCACACTTCCTTTAGATATGTCCTGTGAGTATCGAGTTCGTCAAGTTCTCTTTACTCACTATGAATCTTAGAATTTTCGATTGTCTCCTACCGATTTGAAGCAAATGTATCCTTTTTGTTTCCAATTTACATTTAACCTTCCCGTTACTCACGATCCATTCAAGCCATTCTCAGTTATCGTTCTGTAGAGCCACATTTGTTGCCTCAAGTTTCCTCTTCGTCACTGATGTAATTGTTCAGCATTTATTTCCATATATAGAGATCGATTGTTAGAATTTCTTTCTTTGTTTCAAAGGAAATATATATATATATCTTAATACATTGCTTAGCATTTGGAAGACACCATTTACTACTCCAGCGCATTTTCGGATTTCTTTGACACATTTTCCGAACAATTACGTTTATATTCTACTACTACCAAGATACGGACGAAGAATCGAAGATGCCAACATCAGGTACAAAAGTTTAAATGACTGAGAAGTCTTTTAAAAGAGGATGGAAAATTCGACAACGAAACTCGAACGTTCATTAGAATAGCAGAAGATGCTTTCAAAAAGCTACGCAAAGTAATAAGAAACAGGAAAGTTTCATTAGAAACAAAGAAAAGTGTACTGAACTGCTATGTAATCTTTTTTTTCTTCGGTCGTTAACGCCGCTTGTTGCAGATTGCACAACAACATGAGATATTCTTCTCCAAATAATTCTCGATCACCAACAGCAGATTTCCAAGAGTAACTGTTAAATCCAATCCATAAATGGACATTATAAAGCCAACGTTTTGGCTGTCGACCTTTGCTTCTCTTACCGGCTAATTTTTCTTCTAGGCATAACTTACTCATACCATTAGTTGATTTTTGATATGACCATGCAATTTAAGTACTCTTAACTGATCTGATTGGGTTAAGTTTGGTAATGTTGAGTCGCTCATTGATAGAGATATGGCCGCTGAGGCGTTTGTTAGTCTCATGATGTAGTTCTGTAGCTTTTGAAGTGGCTTTGTCGCCCAGTTAACACAATCCAAACCATATAACATAACTAGTCGAATATAAGTGTCAAATATCTTAGCCTTCAAATGATGAGAAACTCGTTTTTATGTTAGCACTTCTTCGGTGCTTCACAGGAACCTTTCCATTTTTATTTGATGAGAGTTTATGACCAAAATATACAAATTCCGTAACTTGAGTTATTTGCTGGTTGTAGATTGTGAGTTTCACATTGAAATTGTTTTTATCAGTTGTCATGAACTTCGTTTTTGAGATTTTGA